TGACTGCAGTTCAATTACTCACTGACTATCACACATTACATTCCCTCTTTTATATACCAGCGTACCCTACTAGTAAATACTAGAGCATTCGCCAAAGTACATGATAATTCTAGAAACGTTGCGTCACTGTAGTCATGTGACTGCTGACGCAACAGTACGTTACAAAAGCGATAACCAATCCCTTGGCATGGATGGTGGGCGGTAGGGTCATACTGATTGCTGCCTTTCCTCTGGTCAGTAGTTCAAAATTAGGATGGGCTTTGCCATAAATATAAGATACCTCTTTTTATGTGGTATTCCAGAAATGTAAGTTCACTTTTTGTAAACTGTTGTGACCTTATGAAGAACTATAAAGCAAGAATTAAATATATGTTGAAAGTTTCTTAAACTTCAGAAGAATGAAGTTAGTACAAAAACTGAAAACAACTCTTCGTAAGGAAGTTGTTGTTTTTAACGCAAAGTTACACAGTAGGTTATCTACTCTCTGTCCACCTTGGTGAATCGAACCCCGAATTTTATTATTGTCTTGGTATAAATACACCTAAGCCATTCTGGGATAAACAAATATAGAGTTGTGGCAGTTGGCCCCAGTGGCTCAGCGGTAAGTGTGAAGGCTTATAACGCTAGAAATTGGTTTCCGATACCCGTGGTTTGGCACAGCACAGATAGCCCACTGAGTAGCTTTGTGATTAACAATAAACAAACAGTCGGAGCTTACATGTGATGAGGTAGTAAAGTCAATGGAATCAGTTTGTATAAATTGTATTTTGAAAGTAAATAAGTTAAATAAATAATTTCTAACCATTTTACTGGAATCTCTGAAGGTTTAGTTGGGAGAATATTCTGGATGATAAATCCTTCCCTTGAATTACTGTGGTAAGAGCTTGGAATATCAGTTAGTGGTCCTTGAGACCTTTTAGAATATCAGTTAGTGGTCCTTGAGACCTTTTGGAATATCAGTTAGTGGTCCCTGAGACCTTTTTGAATATCAGTTAGTGGTCCCTGAGACCTTTTGGAATATCAGTTAGTGGTCCTTAAGACCTTTAATCTAGTGTAGTTTTAGGTTTGCATTAATAGAGTCATCATGTAATAAAATATAATTATTTATCGCCTTTCAGATAAAGAAGAACGTGTATGGATTGTTACCCACTGCCGTAAAGGTCCACGTTTCCTTCCTTTGAGATAACTGTCATAACCAACAACTACAAAAAATTATACAATTAAATCTCAGTCAAAAGTCTTTAAGTGTAGCAGACAATTTTTTTTCAGTCTTCAGTAAAAATTTCTTTAAACTGTCCATTACTTGCACAATACGGTTCGATGCTTGATAAAAACATTTCTTTATAACAACTTGCACGAGATGACTATGAAATCTTACGTTTGATTTGTTATGAATTTCGCGCAAAGCTACACGAGGGCTATCTGCGCTAGCCGTCCCTAATTTAGCAGTGTAAGACTAGAGGGAAGGCAGCTAGTCATCACCACCCACCGCCAACTCTTGGGCTACTCTTTTACCAACGAATAGTAGAATTATAACGCCCCCACGGCTGAAAAGGCAAGTATGTTCGGTAACGGAGATTCGAACCCGTGACCTGCAGATTGGGAGTAGAGCACCCTATTACACCAAGCCATCTCAGACCTTTTTATAGTCCGATCTTACAACCAATGTAAACATACCGAAACCATTATGGTTGTGATTCCATATACATTCCACAAAACTAGACCAGTAAGTCTTACTTTTGAAACGGTTATCTTATGAGGATAGGTTAACGTCTCTTAACTTATTTTCTGTGTAGAAGACAAGGGTAAGAAATAATCTCGTTGGATTTCACAAGATTATCCAGGGGATCGATACGATTAAGGCTTCTGATTTGATTGTTTCATATTTTGAAGACAATAAGACGAGAAAGCACAAGTTTAGGATTAGGAAAAGACAGGCTAGGCTCCAGTAAAGACTGTTTTATTTTTCTGAAGGGGTGGTAATTAGCTTATGAAATGAGCTGTAATCGGCAGAAATGGAAGCCGACACCTTGTAAGAATTTAAATGGGGGAATCTATAATTTCTTCAAAAATGAAGTGTGGGTTTAATTTTGA